GAGGGAGAGGGAGAGGGAGAGGGAGAGGGAGAGGGAGAAAGGAAAACAAGACTGGAAAACCATCCAGACCACAGATGAAGGGACTGACAAAGAGTGACTTCCAAAAGCAGTGAAGGCTAGCAGCAGCGAGGAGGGGGCCAGGCACTGAACCAACTCTGAGCTACCCATTTGTCTGCCAGGGCCTTTTCCCATTTGAAGGGGAGCAGGTATTGGTTTTGATTCCTGTGTGAATATGTGAGGTTCCCTTTGATGTTGTATCCGAATGAACACAAAATATCAAATCACAGTCTGTCTTTGGCTTTTTTTTCCTCTTTCATATACTCAAGTTCTATACAAAAAGAGGCCCCAACCCTAAGTACCAGAAAACACACTCCAGATTAAGATTCAAAGGCAATGTAAAAAAAAAAAGATTCAAAGGCAAAGACACTGATGCCCACCACATACCACTCACCGATACTCACTTGGACTGTGTCTGTTTGGTGATGTTCCGAATGGTGGCGCCTTCTTTTCCTATAATGGCTCCAACAAACTGGGTGGGAACCAGCAGGCGCAGAGGTAAGTCACATGGTTTCTGCTTGGAAACTGATCCTGGAGAGCCCTGCCTCGATGAGCCCCTCTGCCCAAGCCCACGGCGGCCGCGGGGCTGCTGCGAGGGGGTCTGTTGTGCAGCCACTTCATCAGGGATGTAGGCGACTTTCAAGGTGAAATTCTCTAACTGGAATCCATTCAGTTTGTCTAAGGCTCTGAAAGTTCGCAAGAGGGCGGGAAAGGAAAGTTCACTGCACACTCAGCAACCAAGCACAGCTAACGCACCTCCACCCACACCTTTCTTTGACGTCCACATGGAGGTAAAAGGTTGGCAGGTTTCCAAAAAGAATATACTGCTGAGGGCTGTGGAGAGAGCTCAGTGGTCCCAGCACTGCATGCCATGCTTGCCCTGGAACCCCAGGTGTACCCTGCAAGTCACCAAAACCAGGCATGATGGGCACATGCCTGTAATCCCAGCACTGGGAATAAAATATTTTTAAAGCAAATTTTTAATGAAAGAACATATTGGCCGTATACCAATGAAAAATAGAAAGAAAAAATTTTCTCCAACTTGAATGAATTTAATGCAGGCAGTTCGCAGCAGCTTACAAATACTCAATGGCAACTCTTATCCTGACCACTGTGTCTCCAAATCAGAATGGAAAAGACATTAGAAACACACACCTTTCTCAGTTTATTCTTTAAAATATAATGTTTAAAGCATTTAAAGAGGACAAAATAAATAAATAAATAAAAATAAAGAGGACAGGATATCATGTCTGCATCTTGTACTATTAATATCTACTACAAAGACAACAATACGCAATGTATTAATTATTGTAATTGTCCTAGTAACCTGTTTTGAAACTGTCTCATTGCTATTTGTTTCTCAAAAAATTAATTAAAAAATAAAAATAGGGGCTGGAGAGATGGCTCAGTGGTCTAAAGCACCTACTTAGAACAAGCTTGGCAAAGCAGAGGGACCGCGTTTCAATCCCCCAGCACCACATGCCAGCCAGCCCCGCCCCCTGGTGGGCTGAGCTGGCCACACACACACACACACACACACACACACAA